CTCGGGTGAGTGTTAGAAGCATGTGTTGGAGGTGGACGCGTTGAACGCCACTTTCTCCTCCTGTGACAGACAGATGCCTGGACTCCCCTACATGGGAGGATTGGCAAAGGCTTGTCCACCTGCCAGGGTCCCTTCATTACAGCTCTTGGAGGACCCAGGCAGGGTCATTCACTGCCCGGTAAACTCATTTAGCAGGCATCTAAACCCAAGACTTTCACCAATCCCTTTCACTGATACTGACCTCCAGACATCCCTCGCCCACCACACGCCCATATCCACAGATAGCATCACCATGTAGCCAGGTAGGAGAGCCAGAGATCACTGATCCTCCCTCTTCCTCATCCCCAAACCCAATCCTTACAAACCCAGTCTTCATGCTGGAAATCCTTACAAACCCAGTCTTCATGACCCTCCTCCTTTTGGCTTCTCTGGTGCCAGCACCCTAGTGCAAGCTTCATCGCCTTCTCTGGACCACTGTACTGGCCCCCAAACTGCCATCCCAGCATACTCCCCGCCCACATTCATCCCATCTCCACAGGGCAGCCAAAGAAGAGCTCTTTTAAAATGCACATCTGATCCTGTGTGGGATGTTGTGCCCTCAAACCAGCCAAAAAAATCATCCCCACACTCTGTAAAATGGTTCACAGATTTGCTCTCAGCATACTGGATACTCTTCTGCAGCCGCCTATGGGCCAGCTGGTCACCCAGCTCACCTGAGAAGACTCCCTTTTGACCACCCCACCCCACATCTGAGTGATTGAGTGTCACTCTCAGAGCTCCGACCAGACACCATATTCTCCAGGACTTACGGGTTCCCCACCTGCGCTCTCTGACAGGGGCATGGTTAGCCCGTTTTACAGGGATTCAGAGATGAGACATGACTTGCCCAAGGGTGACAGACCTGGACTTCAAACTAAGAATCCTGGTACTCTCACTCTTTCTATTAGGCGATGCAGTCAAGCAGAGACAATAGGGACCAGAGCAGGGGAACAACCAAGTCAACTGGAGAGATGCAAGGAGGTTTCAGGTAGAGGGTGGCAGGAGGCCTGCCTAGTCTCTGCTGGGGGAGAAGGGAAGTGCGGTGGGAGGAGCAGCACAAGCCAAGGCAGAATGGAAGGAGAGTGCACTTTGATTTGAAAGCTGTCATGCAGACTGGGCTGGAGATGGGGCAGGGAGAGGGTGGGAAATGGTGCCAACAGACCATAAAGCCTTGTCCGCAGTGTCCCTGTTGGTGTGATTGGACCAAATGAGAGCTCCTGACAAGGCCAAGCATTCAATTCTTTTTCTTAGAACATGGATAGTTCTTTGTGGCGTCCTGTGACAGTTAGCCGTCTCCATGTGGCATCCTGGCTTCCATCAGAGAGAACATGAGGAACCAAGGGGACCTACCATTCCTCTTCAGAGAGTCGTCCTGATGACCAGAGGGGTCAGGGCTCAGACCAGAGGCACACAATAGGCTTAGTCCTTGGCTAGGACTCAATCTGTGTGAGACTGGGGCTTCCCCTTGTTCACAAACTCCCATTGGAGCCTAAAGCTGGAGATGCTGGAAGAGCAAAACAGCCTGACAAGATAGGTAGAGTTTGAAGGTGGGATTTAGACACATGGGTCCAAGACCTGGATTTTCCTCTGGGTCATTGTAGGACTTGTCCTGCGAGTGTGATCCCCACATTGCCCTGTGATCCGCAAGGTCAGAAACAGGGCTTTCGGCTCCCAGAAACAGTTATAGCCTCTACTCTGTCCTTTTGGGCAGCAGTGAGTTAGCCTCTACCCAATGACAATGAGTTTTAACAGAGTACTGTAGGACTTGGGCTCTTTCCCATAAAAGAGTCAATGATGTCATCTTTGTCCTTGAGTGGGACACCACAGATTATCACCTCCTTTTATGGAACCCTGGTGGTGTCCTGGTTATGCATTAGGCAGTGCAAGGTCAGCAGTTTGAAACCACCAGCTGCTTCTCGGGAGAAAAAGGGGCCTTTCTACCTCCATAAAGCGTTACAAGCTCGGAAACTCACAGGGGCAATTCCACCCTGTCCTATAGGGTCACTGTGAGCCAGCATCAACTCGATGGCAGTGAGGGTTTTTGGACTACCACCTTTGAAGGGTCATTTTATTTAACCTGCACAGTGCTATGGAAATAGGTTTTCTCTCCCCATTTGTCATACGAAGAATTTGAAGTTCAGAGCTAAGAGACTTATAAGATTTAAACCTATGTTTTTTCCCTCGCTATTCCACATGAAAAAGTGACCCCAGATACAAGACATGGCCTGAGCCCCAGGCACCCACCCTTCACTGAACTCAGATTCTTAGGCGCACAGTTCAGATCTTGGTCTCTGCATGAATTGAGCCCAGATCCTTCACCCCGCTGCACCACTAGAGAGGACCCTGGAGGCAGACTTGCTACCAAGGGGTAGCTGTGAAACATTGGGCACCTAACTTGTACCACTGTGCTTCAGTTTTCTCATCTGTAAATAATCACTTCAATAACATCAACCTGTGGATGTTTACAGCAATTAAATGAGTTCATACCTGTAGAGTGCTTAAAACAGCTTCAGGAACAAGATGAAAATGTCTGTTACAAATATTGTGGAAAAGGTTCAGCCTGAAACACCCTCCCCACCAAAAAACACTTTAATCTCTCCCTTGACACCACTTTTGTCCCGGGAGAGCCCCCTTGGGTTTCAGCTCAGTGTAGCAGATGAAGGCCAAGCAGGCTCCACTGCAGGGCTCAATAGGGCCAAGGCTGTGGGCAACCCGGAGAGGAGCCTGGAAGCTTCTGGGATAAGGGGCAGTGCCCGTTGGAATCTGGCTGTCTCTAACACTGGGGAAAGAATGACAGTTACGGAGAGGTTGAGGCGGGCCTGGTTTAGGGACCTCATTGGGACGAGACCTGCTGAAGGAAACTGTCTAGAAGGCCAAGGGAACCATCGTGAGCTTCCGAGGCCTCAGAATCCGACGTGGGGGCTGCCTGGTCGCGTCCTAGACAATGCGCCCCTCTCTCGATGGCGCATTCCGGAGCCGGCCCCAGCGCCGCGCAACGAGTCCCCGCTCCCTCCGGTGAAATTGCCAAATGAAAATGAATCATTTGGCCCATAATGGCCCAGGCGCTTATCAGGGGCGGGCGGACCCGCGGCAGAGCCTTATCTCAGTGGCACACACGGCCCCGGCGTGCCTCCGCCCATGCTAACCAGGCCTCGAACGTGAGCGGGATTAGAGCGCGGCGCTGCAGGAGCCGGGCGGGGAGGGAGGGCCAGGGGGCCGGGCCTCGGCGGCTCCGGACTGGGCCTCAAAATGGCCACGCGCGTCCCCCCCTGGCGACAAAACGTGAGCATTCCGGCCTTTTCCTACGGCCAAGGCCACGAGCGGCCCCCCACGGAACTCCTCCTCCGATTACCCACCCCCACGCCCGCAGGAGAGGTCTTCGGCCCTTCGCCCTCGTTTTCTTTCGATTGAGGCGGGGGTGGGAGGGGGCATTTTCCACGACGCCCCCGCCCTGGCCGCCGCCGCCCCTCCCGCCTCGAAGACTCTCTTCCTTCCTTCCCCTTTTCCTTACGCAATATACAGAAATGCGCGAGCCGGGGGTGGGTGTTCATTTCTCCTCGTGGTTGGGTGCATGCGGTGGGGTGGTGCGAGTGAATGCGTGGAGGCCGGCGGTGGCACCGTGGGCGGGAGCTGAGTGCGGGGCTTCGTGGCCACCGGCTGTGTGTCCGAGTGTGATGGCGCCTTAGGCGGGCTGGGGGCGTAGGCTGGGTCCCTTCGACGCGTTCTTCGCTTTGTCTTCGTTGCGTGCAATGATCCCCCCTGGCCCTTTCTCCCGGCGTCCGGCTCCGTGTATTCTACTCCGAGGCGGCCTGCGCGGCCTTCTCCATGGTGTTTGGATGGTGTCGGTGTTGGGTCGGGCGTGTGCGGTGGGGTTGAGTGTCTGTGCGCGACCGCGGTGGACCGATTTCGTTGTGTCCTCTTGGACGGGGTGTGGGCCTGACCCGGTTGGCTTGGGGGGCAATGTTGGCTCGTGTTTCCTTTGCTTGCTTCCTTGGGGCTGGATGGTGTGCGCTCCCGGCCGCCTTGGGCTGGGTGCCTGTGTGCTCGCGTCCTTAAGAAGCGCTTTGGCAAATCTCTGGAGTGAGGGAAGGGAGGGAGAGCGAGTGGGAGATCCAGGAGCTGGTGGGACGGCGGCGTGGGGGCGGGGATCGGGATTTCACGTTTTATTCCAATTTATGATGTATTCGGGAGCCAGTGGTGGCGTGGATGGGCGGACGGAGTCTGGTTGGCGGCTGCTCTGTCCAGAGGCCAGTTGGGACCTCGGGGTTGGGGGCCTCGTTGGAGAGGCTCTTCCAGGCGGGAAGCTGAGCAGCGCGGGCCGAGGCCGGCACCTTCCAGCCCGCAGCCTGCGGCTTCGACTCCCGACGCCCTCAGGCTCCGTCCATTTCGGGTCAGTTTCGCCGCGGGGCTCTGGGGGGAAAAACTGTCTGAAACAGGACAATAGGTGCCTTCTTCAGGCCTTGCACCTCGGGTGGGGGTCCTCAGAATCGCCTCCGGGAGCGTTTTTCTGCCCTGTCCCCAGGTGAGCGATCTTCCTGCGCGGGGTCGGGTACCCAGTGCGTCGGCGACAAGACACGGCCCTGCGGAGGCCCACGCTGCTCTTGTTCGGGAAGAAAGGATTTTGTCTTGCCAGCTATTATAGTGACTAACGTTGTCTTTGTCATTGTCATTTGTCATCAGTATCATCATTAACATCCCATTTAATTAAAATAATCAGCTTGGAGCGAAGTGGCTGGTCCTTTTTCTTTGCGTTTCTTTGGTGGGAGAACGAACAAAGCGGCAAGGCCCGCCCCCCCCCTCGCCCGCCGACCCCTGGATATAGGGACCAAGAAGGTTCAACCATAAATCTAAAATTAACCCCGAATTAACACACCAGGGAGGGACGGACTCCCCTCCCCCACCCCACCCAATTTGGCTTGGAAAGGCAATCTCCCGCAATGGATTGGAACCGGAGGAAAGAATTAGTCCTATATGTCCACCAATCCCAGGCAAAAAGGAGGAGGATCCCACAAATAATCCGAGACTTCGATCTATAATCAGAAACTGGACAATGGAGGCAAAATACGTTAAACAAAACCCTGATGGGCGGAGGCGAACTAAATCCCATTACACCCTTTGATGCGGTGTTGGGTTTGCCGGGTACATTCCCTTTTGCCCTATTGCTGCAACGAATGATCGGAATTCTCATACTCTGCCGGTCCACTCACCAAAAAAAAAATCGAAAATCATTTCGTAGGGATGATGGAGGGGAAGGTGCTCCTCTCCCTGTTTTTGTCTGTTTTTTTCCTCCCCTCTTCCTCGTAGGACGAAGGGAGCTGAATAGATTATATACCTTGTCCTCGCTCCCTCCCCCATCCGCCACTCAGCCTTTGCCTTTTCGACCTCCATTCCTGCGGGGAAAGTACCGCCCCTGGAGTTGGGTTCTGGTTTCGCTTTGGGCTGGAAGTGGAAGGTGGGGGGTCCTGGTGAGAAAGTAGGGTTTTTGAGGTTCTGCCCCACGGTTCAGGGTCTGAACACTCGGTTCTCGTTTTCTGACTCAAGTTCGCCCACCCACCTGCTCGGCTCCACTCCCGAGGCCCGGTGCTGAAGCCAGCCTGGTATAGATGCGTTCTGCTTAGAAAACAAACTGCTTTCCCGAACGGGACAGATCCTGTTGGGGGGTCTGAAATGCTCCAGGAAGCCTCTCGGGAGGGGTGCTTGTTGGTGGGCGAAATGGTTATTTCTGATTGGTTGGGTGTAGCGTTCTCTGGGAGGGGGGTGGGTACCCATTCCCACCGGGTTGCTCCGAACACCTGCAAGTTGGAGGGAGGAATATGGGTGGCAATTCCCTGGGCCGGCGGGGGTGTGCGGTCATTCCCAGCCACTGATCCCCTTTTTTTCTCCCCCCATTCTCTCGCGCACGCTCTCTCCACCCCTATCTTTCCTGGAAACTCATTTTGGGCGCGGCAGACCGCACTGGACTACACCAAGGCCTAACTGCTGGCCTTTCCAGGAAAGAGGGAGAAAGCAGAGACCCGGATCCACAGCCTCCACTTGGGCGCCGCCCCCCTCGGCGAGGGAGGAGGGGAGATCCTATTCCGGAGGGCTGGTCTTTCTAAATATGCCCCAGGTGAGTTTCGGTGGGGAGAGGGTGCTTGGGAGTTGGGTCTAGAGACCCCTTGGGTTCGGGTCTGGTAGTGGGGACAGCGGGGTGGGGGGGGGACGGGGGAGGGGTGCTCAGAAAGGAAAAGGCAGTCTCAGATTTGACCGAGGGGAGCATGGGGCGTTGGGCTGGGAATGGGGGAGCCTGCTTGGGGTCTCAGCAGGGCCCTTTCCTTTTTCTGCCCCGGCTTAGTTAGCTGTTGGGCTTGGTCCCCTCTGGTTGCTCCCTTTGGCCCCAGGTTCTTTGGACGCTTCTCGAAACCGGTAACTTTGGGGCGATTATATCCGGGTGGTGCAGGATGCGCCTGGGGCTTGGCAGGAAGAAGGCCGCAGCCATTCGGCTAGCGAGTAAGGACTCTGGCCTGACCTGGGGCCTGAGGCCTAGGGCAGCGCCGCACTGGGACCCCTCTACCCTTTGTCGGCAGGGAAAGTGGTTCTTTTCACCGGAGGGTGATCAGGCTTGGGGTTCTCCCAGGGGATCAATCGCTTGTGTATGGGTGCGGTGCCAGGGACCTGAGCAGGTCTAAGGCACAAACTAACCTCGCTCGGACATTCGAAAGGGTATTTTTGCCTCCCCCTGTTGCCGCCTTTTAAGAGCTCCTGGGTACCGCGGGTCTTGTGGAGGCACACACCAGGGCGTGTGCTGCGCTCGCGGCCACACAGTGAGGACCCGGCGTTGAGGCTTGCATGCTGGATCTCAGCGGCACAAAGACCGAGGAGCCTTAATGGTCAAATAGTCAAATGCTCTAATCTTGTGCAATGCGTTCTGAAACCTCCCCTCCCACCTCCTCAAATAGAAACCAGGTAACATCTTTCAGACCTTCCTTTCAGTAATTTTAACCAAATCCCTGTCACGGAGCTTAGTCCTGCCTGGGCAGCTGTAGGCTCTTGTGAGCCCTGCAGTGGCTTCCTCAGGGAGCTGGGTGTATGGCCCCCTTAGCAGGGGGTGGGGCAGGGCTCCCGATCTCCAAGGAGGCCTCTTGGTTTATGGGAGGTCAGGGTAGTGTGGGGAGGGGTCGGTCACACACCCTGGGGGCCAGTCGGAAGGTTTTCACCGGGTCCCTCAGAGTTACAGAGATCTGGGCATCGGCTGGACTTTTGGGACCAGGGTGAACTCATCTGAATTACCGCGCCTCTCGTTCCTCGGAGACCACTCCTATTTAGCAAGAACCATCGCAAATTAATCAGAAGGTCGTCGTGAGGGGAGCCGGGGCTCAGTCTGTGTGTCACCCCGTTAGAAGCTGGCAGGAAAGCACGTGCCACGGGGTGCATCAGTACTGAGAGGTAGGGAGACTGCACTTGGGATTTGTACCTTTCTCTGCCTCGGGCAGGCATATTTCGGGTGGATTTTACCGCCCAGGGGAGGCAGAAGCACCCGTTAGTATACCTCTGGTGGGTTTCCAGTGGCTGGGTGTCTTGGCAGCGGAAAGCTCCGCTTGGACTGTTAGCTTTCTGTGCAAATAGACCTATTGTCTCCGCCATAATCGTAAACCCGATTTGAATGAAGCTTGTCGGACCCACTGCCTTTGTGGTTTCTACGCACCCGTACCCAATCATCCGCTTTTGTCGTTTCTGGGCGGGGTCGCGGGGCTGGCAGATCCAGTCAGGGGCGCGATCTGAATTGGGATCCGGAGTGTCTGGAGGCAATTGGGCTGCGCTCCTGAAGAGCCTGCCAAGGTCCAGTCTCTCTTCGGCGGTGCAAGGATGATGATTCCTTTCCGACTCTGGCCCAGAGCGGGGCAGTGACAGAATGGAAGCTCGGTAGCTTTCCATTAGTTGGACTCCGTTTAGGATTAAAATGAATTGATTTTTCCTTTAATATATCCCCTTTTTATGGCTCTCAGAGACTAAAAAAAATTAGCATCTTATGAAGCCTGTCGAGTTGGAGATATATATATATATGCCGAGCTTAAAAAAGTTTGTGGGAAAAATGGAATGAAAAACGAATGGAAAATTTCCACTAGCGTTTTATACAAGCGTGTATTGTACAAGAGGATATAGCTGAGAGGGTTTTCAAAGGCCTCTCTCTCCCCACTCCTCCTTCTCTCCCTTCTCTCTTTCAAGTGTAAAATGAGAGACTTGCAAATACCCCCAATCGGTGACTCCCGAGCCGCTTGGTTTTTCTGCTCCGGTTCTTGCTGAGACTCAGCTCTGCAGTCATGGGAGCTGAGTAAGGAAGGAAGCCAAGCGGTCGCTGGTGGGCAGTGGACCTGCAGCCATTCTGGAGTGCGGTTGATGGCGGGAGAGTGAGTGACCCCGGTTCCCAGAGAAAGAGATGTAGAATGAGCTTAGAGCTGTTTTATCTCTAGCCCCTGTGGGCTCCGTGTGGCCTTAAGTGAGGTCCTCTCTCTGACCAAGTCTTGCCATGAATAATTATTTGAGCAATTTGCACAGCGCCTTTAAATGCATAAATGAAACGTTCTCCCCATTTCTCAGAGGGGAACACCGAGGTAGGAGCACGGGAAGAGGGCGGGCTGGAAGGGTCCAAGGCTCTTTAGGACACGCCGCCTGCTTGGGAAACGCAGCACAGACCCCACAGAGCCCAGGAGCTGGGCACCCATGCACCTGCAGGCTCCTCACTGCTGCAGCCACGCTGCCCTTCCCTACCCGCGCGGCTTCGGAGTCCAGCAGAGTGGACCCTGGGGGGAAGTGGGGTCCAGATCCTCTCGTTACCATGCCACGAGTTTCGTCTGGGTGGGAATGACGCACCCAGGACACGTGATTGGCCTCGTAGAGACACACTCCTAGCCCACGAGGTGACTGTGTTTGTGGGGATGGGTGGGGAGGGAGCGGGGAACTCCGGGTCCTCTGGATATTACCCTGCTTGCTCGGTCAAACTAGATCCTAGCCCCTGTAACCCCCATTCCCCAATATCCTGCTTTCACCTCCCTCAGGATTTCTGGGTGTCCACGTGGCCCCAGTAGGGGGGCTTTGTTGGGCAGGGGTGATAGGTTCCAAAGCATTCACCTCCCCGGGACACATTCCCCGCCCGCAACCAAACCGGGGCGGGGCGGGAAGAGCGCGACGCGGGGTTCTGTTCCCTCCTCTTCCCCTACAGCCTGAGAAGGGGGCCCGGGGCGATCTTCTTTCTCTCTCTGGGCATTTCCTTCCTCCTTTTTTGTTTTCTTCCACTGCTCCATTTTCCCCCCTTTCCAATGCCTCCGTCTTTCTCCCCCTCCTCTCTTCTGGTTCTCGGGTCCCCCGGGCACACCACCCTCCCTCTTCTCCCAGACCCGAGACCCCGGGCCCCTCCCGCCCTTTTAGTCCCTAGGGCGCGTGGCCGCGCGCGCGGTCCTCCGGGTCCCACCCTTCGGTGCGTGAAGTTACCCTCTCTGCCCTTCACCCCTTTGTCTTTCCCACGCCCCGGGCGCCCGGCGGTTGTAAGAGCGGGTGTCCGCTTGTCTGTCTGCCCGCAGGATGACGGAGCGGCCGCCGAGCGAGGCGGCTCGCAGTGATCCCCCGCTCAAGGACCAGGACGCGGCCGAGGCCCGCATGGCCCCCCCGCACCTAGTCCTGCTGAACGGCGTCGCCAAGGAGACGAGCCGCGC